AAAAATTTAAGCTTTCTGATTTCTAATCAATCTCAAATTCATTAAATTATTTTTAATATTATTAATCGATTAAATCTCATCATCTTAATTTTTAAATCAATCTTCCTCCATCATTTCCATATTCTCTTCACTCTTTTTCTATCGTTTCCTTCTATCCTCTCTCTCTTCATTTTTCTCTCACACACAAATAATACATACACACACACACACACACACACACACAACTTTATATTAATCTATTTTTATTATACCATCAAGGTTTAAACCATAATTGATAATAATTAAAAAATTTTATTGTTATTCTTTATCTTTAATAGTTCATTATCAACATTATCTTATTTTTTTAGCAAGCTATTAAATTGATCCCCTAATTTAGAAGTAGGTCTTTATATAGCAATAGGTGAATTGTTGTAGAATCATAAAAATTTACATATAACAAACGATGATAAACAAATGCGATATATATATATATATATTGCTTTATGAAAGAAGACTTTTAATATCAACGATTGATTTTATTCGAAAAGAAGAAGAAAGCCTTGACGAATACAGTGAAAATAAATTTATTTAGAGCTTCCTACATTTAAATTTCCTAAAATAAACATTATTATTAAAGTGTAGTTGTAATAATATTGCACAAATAAAAATTATCTAATGTGTTTTTCTCCATGCTGTTCTGGCTAGCGCCATGAAAAATTCGTATGAAATTAAATCCATTAATTGACCTAGTGAAAATTTCTTCAATTAAATATCACTTGTGCATTGTAATAAATTGGCATCATCATCATCTGTTGTCGAACAAGATTAATTTGATCTATTATTTTCATTATTTTCATTATTGAAAAATGAGAATTTTTGATTTTTTGATTTTTGAATTTTTAAAATAATTGTATAAATAAATGAAATCTAGGTTTTTCCATACTAATATTAGAGAAATTATCTTGTTTTACAAACAAAACAAACAAGATCTAAATCAAGAAAATGGTTAAAATTCCCAAGAGCATTAGTAGTTGTATAATGAATAATAGTAATAGTATAGTATGCTATGCTATGCATCAAAAGCCACCAATGCACATTTCACAGAATTTTTTAATAATTCACATGCATAATGAATGACTCGAGTATTTCAGAAAAAATATTTGAAAAAATTGTCGTCGTCGTCGTCGTCGTCGTTGGTATAATCGTAGTTCTTTTACTTCTTTGCTCCTCATTTTTTCCTTTTCGCCTCCTCGCCCATTATTTATTACATCACTGTCCTTAATTTGATTTTTCCATATTGTATCATAACCTGATTTATGATATAAAAAGTTGCATTTTTTTATTTCAAGTAATGACTTATTATTAATTGTGATTATTATGATTATTTTACAAGTCATACAATTATATGCACATTATATCGTTTTCTAAAATAATTTTTTTTAAAAATACTTTATTTAAAGAACCCAAATCAACTACAGTTCCTGTTATAGAGTGATAATGAAATTATCGTCATTATCTTTCAGTTGATATAGTAGTGGTAACTGTATAATAATTTCAAGGTATCAATCCATTAACGAGATGCTGTTAGCACACGTCTGCTCTTTTGTTGCACT